CGTGGCACCCACCCCTGCCCGCCACCCGCCCGCGGTGCCAGGGCCGAGGGCTGGTTTTAGAAGTAGCATTGCCCCGATGTAGAGACGCTAGGCGCGTTTTTTTCTCCTTTTTGCCTTAGGTCCCTCGATGTCCTCGATCTTTCGTGCAATAATGTAGATAAGGGATCCCGGCCGCCCCCGGGAGGGCTCGGTTGTACCTCCCCGGGTGGTCTGTCCCGCGGGGGGGTGCCCGGGTGTGATTTCTGTTCCTGTCGAGGTCGCTGTGTCGGTAGGTTTGTCGGGTTTTTATTTCCAGTTCCCTCGGCTGTCGGGTTTCGGACCTTCTTCCCGTAGGAGAGGCTGTAGTGTCACAGACGTTACCTCAGTTTGTCACTGTTGAAAAGGATTAAAAAAAAAACAAAAACAACCAAACACTAAAACCGTAAAAAATGACAAAATACATAATCATAAAAGCAACAAAAAAATTCTCAATGGCAGTGAAGACTTTTTTTTAAAATAAAACAAACATGATGCTGCTTGTGCAGCCGTGGGCGGGCAGGGGGCTGCCTACCTTTGCCATGCCGTGGCCTGATGCTTGCTGCCCCCCACTTTCACCCCATCCCCCCATGCCTGGCTGCTGTGGCCACCCCGGGGCGGGAGGGAAGGGACTGTGGGGCAGGGTGGCAGCACCCATGGGTGAGAGGGGACCCAGCTGCCCTCAGTGTGGCCCCCTCCAAACGGGCAGGGCTGCCTGATGCCAAATGTATTCCAGCCACGTCTGCAGGCTAATTTCAATTTCCTGGTAATTATGCAAATGAATGTGGATTTAATTAAGGGCAGATTTCATTAAAGTCTTCTTGGGGAAATGAGAACAGGGTGGGGGAGAGTGAGGAGGAGGAGGCAGGGAAGGAAGGATGAAGGCACTGCCTGCCCTGGAAGATAAATGGCTGCAGGGGATGCCGAGGGGATGGATCCCTTGGGCACGGGGGTCCCGCCTGCCCCTGCCAGGGCACCCCACTGCAGGGGGCTCCCAGCCCAGAGGCTGTGGGGGGCAGGTGTGCAGCCTGGCTGGGGGGCAACGCCCGGGACGTGCCACGGGGATGCAGCAGCGGCTCCTCTGGCACATCCCCAGCCCCGCTCCGGGGCCGAGGGCAGCGGGCAGCGAGCCCTCCTCACCCGCCGGCTTCAGCAGCGAAGGCTTTCATCTCCTTCCCCTTCCCATCAGGGCAGAGAAAGCATTGTTTTGATGCGTGATTTATTTTTTTCTCTCCCCCAGCTAAAAATACGGCTTTGTCCATGCCAAAAGGCCTAGGAAATCAATGTCATTGTCACCAGGTGCTGGCTGGAAGGACCCTTCCCTCCCCGATTGCAGACAAAAAAGGAAACGCTGCCATTTGACGTCTTTGAAATGAACCACTCGGGTTGCTTTCAGCCGAACTGTCTTTAATTCAAAGTGAAATGGCTAATTTTATCCCAGCAAGGTCGGGGATGCTGAGAGCCTGTCAGCGCTGGGAGGGCGGGGGCTGCTTGTCTCCAGGTGAAACCTTCAGACCCAAAAAACATGGCAAAAGCGTCAGCTCAGCAAAGCCACTGCTTGCCTGTGTCCCCTCCGCGTTTGGTCGGGAAGGCGGCCACCCCGGTGCTGCGGCTGCTGACCTTGGGCAGTCCCCCAGCAACGGATGAGCAACACAGGTGCTGCTCCAGAAGGAAGTAACTAATAGATTTGTACAGATCCTCGAGCTGGCCGCACAGCCTGAGGGAAGAGGCGCAGAGTCTGGGTGTGAAAACGGTGTGGGTGCACAATGGGTGCGGCAGGTCCAGCTCCCCGTAACAGCAGATCCCTCCTGAGCCGCGGGGTGGGGAGGCCAGGAGGTCCTGGTGGTGATACTCAGCAAAGCCTGCTTGTCTCTAATATCATCCAGCCCCTGATTTCTGGAGCTGAATTCTCCCTTTTTTTGCTTTGAGATGCGAAGGGAGTCACTGCAGCCCCAGCTAAAATTCTGGAGGTTGAGAGTAAAAATAACTGAACGATGCGCTTGTTTGGAGATCAGCGTCAAGCCAGCACTGCAAAAAAAACCCCAAACCAAACCCAACCCCAACCAAGCCCTGTAAAAGGTAATATTTTGTCACCCAGACATGGCTTCAGCTCCCCTGTGATTCGGGTGGGGGCTGCAGGACGAGCTGGGAGGGGACGCAGGGTCCAGGCTGCCAGTGGGTCCCCCGGCCACCGCACGGAGACGTCGGGGCGACGTGAGCCCGGCATGGCGGGAGCATTCATTAAATGTGCTTCTTAGGGCTGATCCGCTTTCAAGAGTTTCTAAAAATAGCGACGGCACCGAGCTGAGATGGGCGTTGGAAGGAAATGTGACTCATGTGCTACCCAGCACCCGAGCGAAATCGGACGGGCTCGAGGCCGCCGCGCGAAAGGAGTCACCGGAGAGGGAGCACAGGCCGCGGCCCAGGGGTGCGCCCAGGCATGGGGTCTGCGGGAGGGATGCTTGAGGGCATCCTGATGCCCTTTGTGGTGGCCACAGAGTTGCCCATGGAGGGGATGCAGCTCAGGCTCGTCCCCTGCCCGTCCTTTCCGCAGGGCCCCTCTGCTCTCTTCATTCCCATCACAAGAGAGATGATGGACAGATGTCAGTCAATGCCCTGCAGGGACAAGCTGCTGAAGCCAGGCAGAAAAAGCTGTCCTGAGGTGGGGAAAGGTCCAGCCCTGTGCCGTGTGAGATGGTTCAGAAGGCCACAGCTGTCGGCAGAAGGGAGAGGTGACATTGTGTGACAGATCCAGCCACCCCGAGACACAGGCAGGGCAGAGCTGGCTGCGCCTCCAGCCCCATCCTGCCCCCTCCCCTCACAGCCCATCTCCCCGGGCAGGTCCGTGCTCGGTGGAAACAGCCCCGTGAGCATCCTGCAGGGGAACAGCTCTGGGCCAGACTCTGCCGGGTGCCGACTGCCTTTACTCCAGCCTCAGCCGGCCGGGAGGATCTCGGCACAGGGTAGAGGAAAGCAGGAGCCTGCCAGCATCTCCGACTTGGCTGTGTGCTCCCTGCAATGGGCTTGGGCACATTTTTTCACCTGAAGGTGTGTCTTCCCATGGAAAACCCTGTAGTTTTCATCAGGGACTTTTTGCTGGAAAATGGGTGGGTTTGCCAGCTTCGGGAGGATGGGGGAGTTGCTGCAGTTTTGGGGTGCGGTGAGGTGTCAGCGCCCAGGGGAGGTGATGGGGAGCACGCCCAGCCCTGCACACCCCCCCGCCACCCAAACGGCTGGGTTATGGGCTCCAGCTCAGCAGGCCTCCCGTGTTGCCATGACAACTGCAGCATCCCAGCTTGGCAAGGACAGGAGATCTCCACCATCCCCAGCACTGCCTTGCCCGGACATGGCTCAGGATGCCGGCACAGGCAGCACCGCTGCCCTCACACCCAGTGTCACCTCAGGGTGCCACAGGCAGCACCCCAAGCCCGCGGCTGAGCGTACGGTCCTATTTATGCTGCCCCTAGGTGCTGGTCCCTGCTCCCTCGAATTTAGACCCTCCTTTACATCCCTCTGAAAGCCACAGGGCTGGCAGCAGTGCCGGCTTTTGCTTTTCAGGGGAGGATCTGCCGGATCAAACCCCTCTGCAGCCAGGCAGCGTGTGCCGTGACGGAGCCGATGCACAACCCGCTCGGCCGCAGGCAGGTCTCTCCCCCAACCACCGGCTGCAGAGCAGCAGCTCCTGCCTTGCCGGCTTCCCTGGGTCCCACCCGGCAGAGCACCCCTCCATACAACATCCCTACCCTGCCCCCAGCTCCCTCCTCCCCTCGCTGGGGGGGTCGGGGCGGGCAGCAGGCTCCTGGGTTGCAGACCCGGCTCCCCCAGTCACCCCGGCTCTACCTCACGCTAATCAGAGCTTCGTCACAGGCAGCTCTCGCTCAGCAGCCTCACAAGACCTCAGCTCTCAGCCTGACGAGATCCTGAGCTAAACCCTCGCTGACATCGGTGGCACCAGGCTGAGGAGAAACTAAGCTCCTCGCCTCAGAGGCTGCTCCACCTCCAGAAAGGTCTCATTTGAAAAGCATTAATACAAGATTAATAGAGGCTTTAATAAACAGTGAATCAACCGCTAATGGAGCCCAACTTGTAAGCCATCTGTAACACCTCAGGGGCTTAAAGGCATTGAAAACATGTCTGGGACATGCTTACAATGGATGTTAATCACCCTGTAGTCCCAAAGACACCACACCAGAAAGAAACTTTAGGAGAAAAGATTGCAGATGAGACTGGGACCCTGCCGCGTCCCTCCGAGGCTGCTTTAGAGGGGGGTTGATATATAAGAGTTGCCCCCGCCCTGCACTGGCATGAAGGCAGGCAGAGGAATTTGGGTCACCCTTGTGCCCCCGGGGCTGGAGCTGGGTCAGGACTCCACAGCCAAGGCCAGTTTATAAGGGGCAGCCACATCCCAGCTGAAGTGCAGCCACCCCTGTGAAAGGGCACACGCCACAGTCACCGAGAGGGGCTGGAGGGGCCATGGGACACTGCTCAGAGCAGGGCAAACGCTTGGGTCCCTCACCTAGGGCTACACCGCCTTCCTCCTGAACAGCTTTTCCTTGCGCCAATCAATCTTCTCTGCTCCCAGCACTGGATAATCCCAGACAGGGATGTAGATCACCTCCCTCAACCTCTTCTCCAGACCGAGGAAGGTCCAGCTTCCTCAGGCTCTGCTGGACTGGCTTCAGCTTGTGACACGTCTGCAGTCACTCAAGGGACTGACCCTTCCCCAGCCGGGTTTGAGGAGCACTGCAAGGCCCTTTCACAAGAGCCAAGGTCTAGTTCCAAAGACCTGCTTGCTCTGGCCAGGGCACTACGTTGGCTCGCTCTGCAGAGCTCCCCAGCCACACCTGCCCTCATGGGCACTGCTTGCCAAGGCTGGCCAGGATAACTTGTCTGTGGTGGGACTGACTGCCTGGCCCACAGGGTGCCTGGGACACT